AACAAAAAGAAATCGAAAGGCAATCAGAAACCTCTAAAGGGTAAGTGGTACATATGGTAGTTAGTACCTGATATACTAGATCCGAATACATGAATTAAAATTTTCTGTGGTAAATCCAGTGTTATCAGCCAATCAATACGCTGCAAGATGATTTAAAAAGAGGATAGCGGACCTGGTGACCTAAATAGGGTAAGACTTTAATTAGCAAACATAACGATTCGGATTGTGGTCTACAGTCGGTGGATTTTTAGAAGTTATAACAAGCTGAGAAGCTGATTATTGTCCGGGATGAGAACATCTGCTGAATATAAATTGCTTGTTTCAGTTCAAATAATAAAATTCCTATTTTTCGGATGTTTGCAATTTCTAGGTAGCTATACAAGCTTGAATGAGAATGAAGAATGTGGATATTTGACCATTTACAATGACAAATGATCTGCAAACATTATTGGTCCCATATCTTGCAATTCCCTCGTGAATTGCGCATTACGCAACCTGGATTACAGTTGTGAAATATACCTTTATACCAATAAAAATGTATTGATTTATAATACTTCATTATTGTAACTTACAACATAACTGATCTTGTATGCAAAAATAGCTTGCATCTCTTGAAAACACCCGTTTATAAGAAAATATAAACTGTCATTATTATTAGTCTACCTTGAGTACTATTCACTTGTGATGTTACGAAGAAAATGCTGACAAAAGTTTACAAGTGTATTACTTATTTTAAATTATTATCAAATTTGGATATAAATCAAGAATAAAACTCGGTGCCGTACACACCAAAGTTATATAGAGGAATTACTTCAAGCTTTATTTTTTTCCCAAGTATTTGTAATCCATCCAAAACATACTTGGGTTTTTTTGTTAATGCGAAGACAATACTTCTATATTTCTTGATGTGCTCCATTGAATGACTAGTTATCATATTGTTCCCATAGACAAAATGACTGCAACCTTATAATTTTACCATGAACCAAATTTATGCAATTTAAATAATACTTATCCATGCCTGTACAATTGGTGTGTCCCACACAGGTAGGAAAAAATGTATTTTATTAAATTACTATTATTAAATATGCTTACTAATCGTATATGTAATTTATCATATTGATGATGCCTGTAATTTGGCGTCCCTCATGTAAAAAATGAGAATATACTATTATTATTATAAATGATTAACGAAGCATCTTCTTTGATTCGCATACCTGGCTCATAAACATAATGCCCGCATGTGGTATACATTTAATTCTGACAAGTTTTTTGATGAGTCCTGTGAAACACGCTGCTATCATGATGAAAGCAAGAAGGATACGTCAAGCAGGATAAAATGGCGTTATGCATAAAACCGCAATTAATTTAATATCCATAATGTAGATGTGCAATACTGATTATAAAGATGATGGATAATAGTTAATAACATATTATTTAGCAGCATATTAGGAACAGATAAAATTGTTTCCCAGGTCATTGTCAAGTAAACAGTCCATTTGATGATGTCCCTGCATACTAATGAACTGGCTACAAACCCTAAGTTACTACATTTACTTGTACTACAGACTTGGCGTTTAGCATTATACAGACTTGCAACTGGCCAGATAAGCCGGCTTTAGCTTATCGAACAGTACAGAATTATTATTCGACTAGCTAAATCCTACTTAGTTCTTACAATGCGCTATTGTATAGAAACAGACGCAGAATCCTATGAATGACTAAACGGTAAATTTCTATCCCACTAACTTAGCTTAAAATGTATTAATATGAATTCCCATATTACAATAGTCCATTATATGGCAACGCTTCGAAGAAGTCCAGATGAAGTAGAAATTAGGAGTGTAATGAGCACTTCACTGATTTACGGGAGAAAATTCTGGAGAGGATTAGAGTTAGCTTGCCGATCAACATTTTCGCTGATTTCATATTCGACAACCGCCATATACCTAGAGAAAACAAAGCACATGTAAGGGCAAGCACAACATGAAGTTATAAAAGCTAATTTTATATATTAGTATACAAAGTGAATACAATGATTCTGTTAATACTAAAGAAAATTCTCATGCAAATAAAAATATTTGCAGTCTACAGCTGGTTTTTATATTGACGATGTATACATCAATAGACCTCATGTTTTTATGTGTTAGAGGATTATACTCAAGTTTCAAGACAATCTCCCTATCGAGTCGTCATTCTCTCATCAAGATTACTTGCAGATCATCTTCACGCTAAATACGTTTACATTAATGAAGCATTGCAAATTTGCAGCTAAGAATTTAATCCACAATCTCAGTAATGTCTAGTGAACATAGTTTTGTGAACCCTACAGAGATTACTTTTGCATGTTTGGTAAACTAATAGCCACGAAATATAAGGTGAACCTGTCTCAAATCTAAAGGGCTATGCACAGTGTTAACACCATAGGGAAAACACTTCAAATATTGTAAGATACACAAACCTGTTGTGTTGATTAGGATAACAATGCCATATAATGCAGCCTAAACATTCAATCGTAACACTGCATCTATACTGCTTCATGTAAATGAAAATTTCAGGACAAATTCATCTCCTCTACTGGTGATCAAAAACACTGTAACATCGATATTATGTTTACAATGTCAGTGAGAATGGTATAACAGACGGCAGATTGATAATAATAGAGCTGACTAAATTAATTTCTCATAATTAACGCAATCAATGTGTATAATACCATACACTGAATTAATGCACTAAGTAAAACAGTGAGGAAAACTAAACGAGTGACTGCCTTCCTAACTGCGTTGCACTTGCAACAATCGTGAGAACCAAACACATCTGTCGGCCTAGCAGTCAGCTTAGCAGAGAGTGGCATAACAATAATAAAGTAGATACATATTTTATGCATGGAATTTACATAACCCATATTACAATGCACCAATCAGTGTCAATATATATTAAATCCACTTGGAGATAACTTTCAACTTACGATAATTCCTATCCAAACACCCATGGGGTGAAAAATTCATTCATATCAAAACTTCTATTCTCAGAGAGGCTTCTGTTAGCATTTATAGGTGATTCCCATGTACTGATAGCATTCATTTGTAAAATAGTACTGTTCATCACACGAAAATAGGCTGTGTTTATATCACGAGACGTGAAGTCTTGATTAAATGATACTATATCGACAGCTGCAGCTTCTACATAAAGTAAACTATTTGTGTAGGTGAAATTACCCTCCAATCATCCTACCTTGCTCATGATAGTGATATTTTGACGCGGTTCGCCCGAAACATAAACCTCTGCCACGAATATACTAGGAGTATGCCTCAGTCGGATTGCATGACATGGACACCAACACGACTAGTCAGAAAATGAGAATTCCTATCAACTCAGAAAGCATATAACATAATTTTATCAAAACTTACCGACAAAAAATTTACGAGGGAAATTTCTTCCAACATGCCCGATAAGTGCAGCCATAACGGTCATATTTAACAAGTTCAAGCAGCATTTTCTAATTATCTTCGGAAAATGAAGACAGAAAGAAATCACAGCACGTCTGCCATTGATAGCGATTCTCGGTCATATCTGATTTAAGGGTTAACGGCAAGAGTACTATAAAAAGGACCTTGTAACACTGTGAACTGCATAGGTTCTTAGCTCACATTGAAAACAGAATACAGTTTTCAGTAAACATCTATTGATGGACTTTTGATTATGAGATCGTAACAGCTGCACTCTATTGTCACAGTTCACCGATATACGGGTATCAGAAATTCCCCTAAATATTATTTTGACACCCAAATTATTACGTACATTCACATACAACAACAAAGACTTTTTCAGTTCTAAGTCAGATGCCTTATTTAGGAATTCTCCGTGTCAAGATGTGTCTGGAGTTTTTCCTAGACGAATCAACTCCAAACATGCCAAGTGGCTAAGTGTCAATTTGGAGTATTAAGTTTTCAATATTGCAAAAATGTCGGCTAGAATGGGTCCTAGTGGCGACCCCATTGCCACACCATCGATTTGTCTATACTGTTCCTTATTAAATAAAAAATGGACATTCATTGTACATTTCAAGGGAAGCTCCTTCATGAAAGATGTAGGAATGCCAACCTCGATGTTTCGTCTTTTGAGTTCTTCACATATAAAGTCCACTTTTCCATGAGAGGTACATTGGTGAATAAAGAAGACACGTCAAATTTCGCCTCTTCCATGTGTATATACCAATTTAACTGCTCCTGTGGAACCAGTTACATAGGCCATACAATTAGGTGTGTTTCTCGTCGAATTTCCGAACATCACCCTGCCTGGTTAAGCAAAGGTCAAACAAAATCTATTCGCAGCGCTATTCTGGCGCATCTTGTGGAGACAGAACACAAGATTGAAGTTAATCATACTTTCAGGGTCATTTACCGCATACCTACGAATCTCAATTTCGCTTTAAGAGTTCGACTTCTAAATATTGCTGAGGCTGTAGGGATTCATATTAATAAGCCTAATTTATGCACCCAAAAGAAGTTAGTTCAGTCATTATCATTACCTTGGCCATCCAGGTTTGAATAATCCAGAATTTTTGTGAAATTTCCCTAATTTTAATTGTTATTCTATTCGCTGTTATATCTTTATTATTATTATTATAATTTAAGCATCTTTAATGAACTGCAATAGCAATAACCATACTTTACAAATCGATATTATTTAAAAAAACGCTAATATTGTTATTAACTACTAATTTAAAATATTCCGTGTATATAAGCATATATATAATTGTAGAGCCTGGCAGAGGAATTTATCGAAAAGAATATTCTTTGCTCGATTACTTTGTGTATTATTTTTCTCCACTCATATCGTTTTAGTAGTTATTTAGTCTTGCATTGGATCCAGTAAACTATTTAAGTATATTCTTTATTATATTTTGTGTTTTCAGTGGGAAATATTCTTGTTAAATAGTTCTGTTAGGATTTCGGTTTTCGTGTTGTTTGTCAAGGTCACCACAGCATTACCAACCTTCAAAAATTAGCGCTATATCAAGTAAGGTGGTGTTTCTCTCGAATATTACTGTCCACTGCGATTCGCTATGAAGGTGTGAAGCTTATTAATTTATATGCACTTCGAGATGGATTTTAAGGTATTTTTCAAATCTCTGGACCCCAGTCATGGTTTAAACTTCTGTTGAGGAAGATAAATGAAACTTGAGTTTCTTCAACATATGTGAAGATGCACATAAGCTGCTAAACAATTTGGGAAAGATTTCTGTACTTTTCGTGGAAAATCTGTTGCACTTTCCCAAATATCTGTCATAAATCATTCCCGAAATCGTCCCAAAATTTCCTTAAAGGTTTGAAATTAAACTCAGTTTTGCGAATCAAGTTACTTTACTTGGTAGAATGTATATCGGAAATGTGGGATGTCTGCGATTTAAAATGGCTGACCGGTTGGCTAATGGTTGAGAAGATTCTAAATACACTCATTCTCCCTGTATTTCTTACCTTCCAACAAACCGTTCTCCCGCTAACTCTATCTCCCAGCCACCATTTTTTCACATTCACTTTGCTATTAAATCACTTTACTTATCCCAAGTTTCGAACGGTTTAAAGTCTACCTTTTGCCGTACTTTCCCCCCGACAGGGACATCATGTTCGACCATTTTTTTCATTTTTGCCGTCATATAATAATGATGTTCACGCAATAACCTTACATCTCCAACCGGTAATATTCATTTCTCAAACATAAAGCAATGCTGTTATTAATAAAAACCATACGGAGATATTTACAAGGTTACTGAATCGGAAAAGGCACCAAAGACATTGTCCATTCAGTAGAGGTATATGTTCATGGTTGTTTGCGGTGCCAAGAAGAGAAATCAAATCTTTGTGAATAGATGCGTTAACTACCCTGAAAACCTGGTAAAATTCATTATGATAAGCGAGGGGCAAAAAGGTTGATAATGAAACTAAATGAAGAAGTGACCGTATTTGCCACACCCCTTGGTATTTACCTAAAGTTTATCTGTGGAATATAGCCACGGTACAAAGTTGGTATTAGGTAAGTTATACAAGTAATTGACCAGATTTTTGAGGTATGTTACTTATCTTGAGCTACTGTCTCTTCCAAAAGATCGATTTTAAATTCAGAAGAGTCAACATGAAGGGAGGTAAGGAGTAGTAATAATTCCTATTGCCCCTGACTAATGGATGGTGTAGTGTAAGTTCGCCATGGGTTATGTTTCTGAAGTCCTCACTCTGTTAGGATTTACTGTTAACTGGCCCAAAATTGCTTAGACCAGTGTATTTGCAATCATTGGAACTGTGGACATAACCACTTCTGTCTTAGTTATCTATTATTTTACTGGTTTCATTTGTCTATTTCCACTTCTTATATGTCCTGTTATAGAATTGGTAACTTAAGCTGGCGCACTTCTGTGTAGGATCTGTGTTGATATATGTCTGTCTTTTATTCGTCAAAAGACCAACTCTTTAATTTTTCTTCAACTTTCCTAGGAGCCTTATTACCTGAGCTTATGGGATTCCTTAAATGAATATCAGTGTTGGCCAGTCTTTAAGTTATATTTTCATTTTAGATGTAAAAAATACCGTACAAAAAATTCTGACAATATGACTTAGGGATTTCATATAGCTAAGACCAGTAGTGACAATTCACTGTTTTATCGTATTTGAAACGCTGAACTTAACTAAGCTAACCGACTTACCAATATAAGACTTTGCACAAAAGTGCAGCAGTCCAAGTTACCATACTTCGGAAGACGACAACAAATATATCCCCATCGCAAACAACTTTCAGCCACCCCACCGACTATTCCGAACCATCGTTTCTTGGCATTCTGCAGTTGCGTACATGATACTGACTCTTTTTGTCAATGTTCTCCTACACCAACTAATCCCCAGCTCTATGTCCCTTTTTGGTGTATTCACCTGTGATTTCTTCTAAATACAAGCTGAGTATGTCCTTATCTGAATTTATCCAACAATTAATGTGTCTGGGTTCAGTATCATCAGCAATATACTTCAAAAAATTGAGGTGGAGTTTTAGAGCCTAATCATGTGTCTTACACATACACATACACGTCACTGCCGCAAATTAATCATTACACAATTAAATGGATGGTGTAATTTCTCATCGGTGACTTGCGATTATGATTCTCGATTTGATTCATTTTATTATAAGTTTGGAGTTTGTATATGACAGTTCCGTAGTATTATCCTACACTCAATAAGTACTTGAAACACTTCAGATATTTTCTGATTGTTACACACGGCATCAGGAAAGTTCCGCATTTCACCAACAAAGTATAGTAACAGACTACAGATGGCTCATGATATGGTAAAATTCCTACTTTACAGTTGACATGCCTTTTCACATGGTTCTGTAGCTCATGAGCATCAAGATTTCACATGTTGGTAATACATATTTTCTTTCCTATGCATGTTTGCCTCTGCTCGTACAATTTAGATGAACGGTATAATGCTTATAAACGCTATAAGCCTTGGCTACGAGGATCTACATTTAATTTTCTATTGGCTCAACTCAACACCATTTGTGCTACTAAGTCGTAATAAATTCAGGATTATAGGCAGTTGCCTACCACTTGGATATTTTCTTTATAATTATCGTCTTATATTACTTTTGTTGGTTGGTGTGTGTCATAATGAGCAGACATCAGTTAGAGAACCACTGGGAAACCTGGGAGTACTGGACAGCTGTTTCGTCCTAGTTTGGGACTCTTAAGCAGTACTCACCCACTGGGGTTCGGACCCAGGACCTCCCGGTTACAAGGCGAGCTCATAGACCATTAAGCCACTGGGACTAGATCCAATGGCTAATCCATGAATTCTAACTTCTGCCAATTCATGACATACCGTGACCACTTCGCAATGTCTTCTTCGATGAGTTACTGCCTCACCTTCAACCTGCTGCACCCTACTGGTCACGGCTTCCCACTAGAACTCCAGGTCACTGCCTGAATAGTGCCAGTCGCTAGTTAGCATAAGACCAATTTTCAAGTATTGGTTTTTGTAGGGATTTTTGATTTGTTGGAGGATTTCATCATGAGCTGACATCAATTATATTACTTTTGCCTATTATTGTTCTTCGAGTAAAAATCTTCATATCTTTTGAATTTCAGGTATCTATAGTCGTCTAAATGTTGAATGGTGATGATGATTTTGAGAGATTACTTGAGATTGATGATGAGTTGAGATTCGAGGCAATTCAGCCATCTGTTGTTGATCTCGATACAGATGAAGACAGTCAAAAAAGTAACCATAAAAGAAAATCCCCTCCTGACTTGGACCAAAGTAATTACTTCTTAAACCCATAATTTTGTTTAGTTAATCCACCTAAAATATTAAAGACGGTTAACGCTGAGTACATAAAGGACAGCTCACAAGATAATGTACCATCCTGTAGTTACTCTCATTCGAGTAGTCACCTACTTAAAAGAATTCCACTGGATGGTGATTATGTTTCGGTTACATTTAGTAATGGTGAAAGGTTTTATTTAACGATGGAAGAGTCTGACAGCGGAGATCTCTTTCATAAGATGAATAATTCATTTCACAAATATGAGTCCTCAGGCTTGATACATGAAGCTGAAAAAATTGTAAGCCATTCATTATCTTGTTTGTACTAACAAATAACAGGTGAAAAATCATAAGTCAAAATTGATCAGTACACTAATTGAAGAAAAAGAATGTGGATTGAATTTCAAACATTTATGGACTACAAAATACTCACCGTCATCATACTTAGATCTGATATCTGACGAGGTGAGTTATAGCAAAGAGGTCGCTTGTGATTTCTATAATATACGTAATATATGCGTGCCATTTTTAATAACCAAGTGACTAAGACTCATCTATTTTAAACTAGATGAACTACTGGGGTAACTAGCCTCATGCCCAACCTTTCCTCTTTACCAGCTTGATTTCTGGCTTAGCGAGGTAAAGGAATGCGTCGGCCGGGGATCGAATCCCGGACCATGTGCACGGTCGGCGAGCATCCTAACAGCTGTGCCACCGACGCACGGATGAACTAGTAGGCATTAATTTTTATTGAGTAGTAACGTATAATTGCTTCCTTGTTTACTCTGTATAAACCTAAAACTGCAAAAAAGTGGCTATTGTGTATACACTTACAAAATCAGTTGATTCTGATGTAACTAATTTTATCCTGTGCTTTGGTGGGAAGAAACTCCACGTATTGTAACAGCGGTGGTTGTGCTGAAAGTTGGTGCTGGCTGAAAATGAGCTGTGATTCGAGTCGACCTGTTGATCTCTCACCTTTCTCCTTTTGTTCGCCTGAATAACTCTTAGCTTAAATTATCTGTGTATTCATTTCCCGTCGAGCACTATGATATCTATCAATTTCACATGGTTAGGGTAACTCATTTGGTAATTTTACTGATGTTTAATTCCGTTTAATTTGTAATTATCCGATTCCTGATAAGAATGACGAAAAGTGGTCGCCTTCTTCAAACTTAAAGCGTATCAAATAATGAGGAGTAATCACTTCTTTTACCAGTCATTTCTACGAGTTTTTTTGCAGCATAATTTGCAAACCATAGGGGAGACACTCCACTTGAGAGACAGCCGTTTGAACATTTAACTTGAATTTCAATTCACAAGACAACATGTAACGTTAGGAGTCATGTTTAAGTAAGTCATTCACTCATTTCGTGTCCTGCACTTTATGGATGACTTTTAGATTACGTGTTTTCAAACTTCTGCTTAGATCTTTAGTATACTAACAATACAGTATACAATCCGTTACAAACCATAGGACATTGTTATTCACTATCTTACTTTTTTGGAAAAGATTGAAAAACTGAAAGCGTTATAGAGTTTTCGATCAAATTTAATGAAGAGATTCTGTTTCTTAATTAAAGTTATGGTATCTTTGTATATGAAATGTTTACTTTTTTCGGTTCTGACGGATAAAAATATGATGTGTACGTCTGATAGCTATTTTGTTATCTTTAATATTTGAATTCAACGAATTCATCATAGTCATTCATTGGTCTGACTTTTCCTTTCAGACCACCAATCGAACTCTTTTGAGATGGTTAAAGGCGTGGGATCACTACGTGTTCGGTACACCAACAACTAAACCCCAGATAAATTCTCATGTAAATTCAGGACCATTTACAAACAAACCAGACGATCTTGAGTCAATGGCTGGAGAGATTAATCCTCGTGATGGTCTACCGCGATATAGATTGGTACTGCTTGCTGGACCTCCTGGTTTAGGAAAAACAACTCTTGCTCACTTATTGGCTGAACACGCTGGCTACGAAGTAGTTGAAATAAATGCGAGGTTTGTTCGTAATCTGTCAGTTTTTTACATTAGTTAGACGCAGTCAATGTAATTTAATAAACGGAAACTAAGTAGATGTGGAAACTGAGTTCGCATGTTCTGGTTTGCAATAATTTGAGCATTTTATGTATGCTGTTATTTTCAAATTTTATTTGACAGTAGGTAGACGTCAAAGCGAATTTTGTTTACCACTGTTTCGCTATTCGATATCAATAGCCTTCTTACAATTAGTATTCCGGGACAGAAAGAAAACAAAAGTGAGTGCGGTCTAGAAATAGATGTTAATTTGTGGACTGCTGCAAAACCATCTTATCTGCGCTGCAACTATCTAGTTCCATTCACCACTTGAATGATTCTCCTCTGTGTAGATTCCCGATTTATACATTCCAATCCTGATCTTTTACAAAGACATCCGTTGGACGTATTTGGCTAAAAGAATGACTCACTTGATGGTAGAGCTCATCTTTAGTTTTATCTGGACTCGCTTCGTGCTTAGGTAGAGGCGAAGAAAAAACAATGCCTTTCTATCCAGTTGGTTCTTACTTTAATATAACCTCACCTAACAACACATAGCCGACTGTTAATTGAGACCCAGTTGACTAGTCAAACTTCAGCTTTAACACAGTGCAACACCGATACAGTATAATTCGGACGTCAGTGCCACTGGTTTATCCGATAGGCGCACATAAGACGTACTTTTTCAAGCTGAATGCTTTGTCTGTGTATTGTATGCGGGTGTCTGGGATGCACTATGCATCAATAGCGGAGCCTTTCGGAATTGTGGCTAGATCTACTTGCTGATGGATTTTCATCAGTACCCGAAAGCTTTATATGCCAACTGAAAAGGGTAGATTTAGTACAGTGCATACATTTTATCCTTATTTATGAAGCCTATAACAACAACCTAATGTTGTCAGCATCAATTCACGTTTATTGTTAGTTAGTTAGGTGGGTTATGATTACCAATATTGAGGTTAGGTTTAGAGTGCTAAGTAAGAAAGGGCAGCTAACCGATGTGATTGTGGAGCTACGTCGATTCATATGAGTAGAATACGTGTGATGCACGGCAAGCGACCATATTCCTCGTCGAACAGTGTTAACTAACTGGTGACTATGTTGGTAAAGAGATACGGGTGGTCAAATCGAAATGCGGCATCAATAAATGAATTCTATAACAGTAGTTTTGAGTCACGTAGAGAGACGTAGACTGCCTGGTTGGAGTCTGTGGAATAAAATGAATCAATGGCTGGTTAATGTTGGTGATATGGCTCAAAATCGTTCTCATTGGCGCGGATCCATTCACTCCTTGTAATCTGCCATATCCATTAAAGCTCAATGTTCTTCGATATCGTTATTCTTTTCCTCTAACATTAATGCTTACTATAGTTTCTTTGAATATATATTTTTTCTGTTTCCTCTACGTTTGCGTGCTACGTGGAGTGTGGTAACTTCAACTGCTGCACTTCTGAGCAGCATCAATCATCCCAAGTTGAAATGTATTCTTGAGTTTTTCGATAGTTAGTTTGTAGGGATTTGACTTGTTCCAAGTTTGACTGCGGAGAGAACCGTTAAAAACCAGGAAGTACTGGAGAAATGTTTGGGACTTATCAACAGTACGCACCCCCAGGATTCAAATCCACTAAGTAAAATAATATCTAGATGACATAATTTCAAAATACTTATTATCTCTATTGCGCACAATTTTTTTGTATGCTTTCATTCCAGAGACTCGCTTATTTATTTGTTTTATTCATTTGAGATTATCCACTTCACTTTTAAATTGTTTCTTCTTAGTGATGATCGTAGTGTCAGTGTCCTTCGTGATCGTCTAACAGCTATTGTTTCCAGCTCAACTAGTTTGAATACATCAAAAAGTACAAATTTCAATCAACAAAATTATCTTAAACCATGTTGTTTAATTATGGATGAAATAGATGGAGCCATGCCGGCAGCAGTTGAAATTTTAGCCTCAGCTGCCAAAAATACTTTACCTACTACTTCTGAAAGACAATTGCGAAGCAAGAAAGCCAATCCGCCTTTAGTTTTACGTCGTCCTGTTATCTGTATTTGTAATGATTTGTAAGTTGAGTAGACCAGTCGTTCTCTACCAGTGATTCTTGTTAATTCTATTATTTTCATTTACATTAATCTGTTTTGCTAGTCATCTCTTGAAATCACACTGCTAGCTTCTGCATTTTCATGTTGATGTATCGGTGTTCTTGATAAGATTTTAAAAATTTATGGTAATATTCAAAAGTCTTGCTTGCAGCATCTTCTGTGTGGGTTCAGTTACCAATCAATAGCCAATGCATTTCCTAACATTGACAATTTAGTCTTATCAGTGTCACTTTTTGAGACGATATAAGGTCTACTCCGAACATAGAATAAGCTTAATTGAATTTTAGATTTTCCCGTCGATTGATTGGACCGAAGTGCTCGGTCTCAGGTTGACATGTCGGCTTCTTGAGCAGATGCTTCGACGATGTCTGGGCATTTAATTTGTATTTGGTGGATGATGACTAGCAGTTCGAGCCTCGGTGGGAATATCATCACTCACTGGGGAATGCAGGTACATCCAGATGACGAGTCCCAAATAGGACGAAATGGGCATCGTGGATTCCACTGCTAGTCACCATCCACCAACTAAATAGAATGGGCTTGTCTGTGTTTCAGCCCTCCCACTTTTACACTTGCCTAGTTAGATTTACAAAATCAATGAAATAGAAATTTGTTCAAATTCATGAAAGAGATATGATTAAAAGTTACAGAAAATTAGCAATATCATTCTCAAAGTTTGAATATTGGGACAGAAGGAGGACAAAAGTAGTTAGTGCTGTACAGCCTACAGATCATATCACCAGGATCAACTGTTTGTCTGCTTTTTTATAGTATTCATTTTAATCCCCGCATTCTTGACAACGATATTTTTCCCTCTTCTCCTTACTACTAGATATTCTCCATCTGTTCGAGCATTAAGAGCTCCTGGAGTCCCCTGCTTGACATTGCGTATACCCAATGTTGACTTAGGATGCCTTATTTCTCGATTGGATATTATAACTAAGACAGAAGGTCTCTCTGTTGACAAAATGACTCTAACACATTTGGTCGAGATGTCTGACCGAGATATTCGTTCATGTTTGAATACACTACAGGTAGGAGAATTAATTGTTTTTTCAGTGAATTTTCCATGTGATATCGTGAATCTATAGACATACTGCAAAATGTATCATTTTTGTTATCAAAAAACAAAAAGACTGTGTCAGTTGAAGGGAATAAATAAAAGTGCTGAAATTTTCACTATCATGTGGAAACATTCTGAATTTTTGTAATCTATGAAGTAAAATTTCAAAAATACTAACTAGTAATTTCGAATTGATGGCTTTACGCTCTCCATTACTAGGAAAGCTGGGAGATGCTGTCGAACGCAGCGGGATAAGTTTTTCGATGAACCCACTGTGTACCTATTTAAATTATATGAGAGAAATACAGAGTGGAACTAGGTATCTAAGAAATTATTGCATCTGAACTTAGAACTTAGGAGTTGATGATGTTGCAACTGAAGTCCTTAATAATTGGTTGACAAGACAATTAAGAAAACAATTTTTGCTGTCATTCTACAAATAATTCTGAATTCAAATTTTCTTGTTTTTGTCACTTGAAGCTGTCATAGCAATAAGCTATACAGTAGGTGTAATTTTTTCTCTCAAATTTAAATTCTTTGCCTTCTGAGTGGAACCTTGGGTTTCAAGCCTGAGCTCTGAATTTTCAGTAGCAGTGGTGTTTATCTTTTGCGGAGTGGAGTTGCTAGCCTCACGCCCAACCTTCCTTCCTTCTTTACTGAGCCTACTTACTATCGGCTAAGCCAACTTTAGCCAAAACAGTATTAAATCTGAAATGCAAACCTCCAGAAACTTGAATAAAGCAAAAAATCAGCGGTTTGTACAGAATAAAATGGTACTATGAATTTATTTGGTCGGCTTCTCATCAGTTGAGTAATATATAGACAAAACTAATTAAGTTTTTATGTACAGAAAAGTTGTTAACGTACTTGCAAAGGTGACATAATGTCAGTTAACAGGGGACTCAAGAATTAATAAACACTACTCAGAAATCACACTAATTTGAATTGAACTCATTGTATGTTTTTTGCCTGCCGAGTTGACGTACATAAAGTTCTGCTTCATTGAAATTCATTCAGCTGTTCCAGAATTCGTGATAATATTTCATAGATAACCTTGTAGTAAAGTGGTCCATCGTTGACTCGTTGTCAGTTGTCGCCAAGTAAGAGGATGTAACTTTCTATATTTGAAGTTAATCCTAGCCAGGAAGAGATGGTTATCCGAAACTGAACACCAATGAAACTTTTATTTATCCTACCAAAATATCTTTTCCACCCATTTCACCTCCTTGAGTAACTGAGGTTGATGACACTCACTCATGTGTATACATTATACCAAGCATATGTGTGTAGCTTTGCCCTAAGGTATTAGTTTGAATTTGAGGTTTCACATCCGTTTATCAGTATTTTCAATTGGTGTGACTTTTCTCAAAGTTTAATAAAGTATTTGTGAATTGTAACACCCATCGGTGTATGTATAACACGTTAAATAAAAAAGTTTGTACGTACTTTTTACCAGTCATTGTCATCAATCAATCGCCTTTTTGAGACTAGTGTCTGATAAAATATTATTGTTTTCTATCGCCGATTCCCATAAGTGCTTATGATAACTTATTATTGTTATTGATAAAACGCAAATTCGGTGCATCATCTGCACTAAGAGAGGCGCCATACAAAATCTCATAGCTTGTGTGAAGGCCGGGATACTGCCCAGATCGAAGCAAGTGATTGTCTTAATGGGACTCTGCCGAGCCTTTCACTTAAAGTCTGATCCACAAGGCAGTGAAGAAGCCTCAGTTGCTGCGTTCTCATTGTTTCTGACGACCAAAATAGGTTCATATTCTATTCGATCTGTTTGTATTCTGGACGGTATGTAGATGGTATGTTTGGAATTAAGATTTTTAAGCTCCATTAGGCAGACTAGCATGTCCACTAGTTTGATTGTAAACACTGGATGTTTTCATTCTCCATTTCATTTTTGTGAGTAACATCGTTGTCACATAAATGTAGTAAATATGACTTACGTGGAGTCTAATCATGATTATCGTAACTGGAAACGCTGGAACTCAGAATTCACCATAGTTTCTCAACTTTGAACAATCAGACATTCTGCTATAAGTGTCCAATTTCATACTAATTCAGTTCACAGTACATATTGGCTTATCACTTTTCGAGGTAAAGGTTTTTTCCTAAAAAAAAACTTGGGTCGTTTTTAAAAGTCTTCCTATGAAAACTATACTCACTAGAAGTTTGCAGTATGGTCTCCAAATGTATCCTTGTTTAATAATAACCAGTAATGAAGAAAGTAGTTATGAGTAGTTTTCATATCTTGACTTCCACGAATAAAGGATAACTCAGTAAGTACCATCGTAGGCGAGTACTTACCGTACATTTCAACTGTATTGTTAGATGTGTGGTATCGTTACTCTACAGTCTTTTAAGTCCTAGAATTAATATCACAGCAGGTATCGTAATTCTCTAATTCTAAATGCTTTCTCGTAGGTGTATGTCAGCATAGACGGACTTGTGTTTGAAGTTATATTCAGTTTAACGAGAAATTTACAACCTAACACTCAATAAGCTTTTGTATATTTCTTTTCCTATCCCTCCTAGTTTTTGAATTCAGTGAAATCATCACTAGATGGTGACAGCGATAAGTTCAATGCCCTATCAGTGGAAGACATTCTATCTCTTTCTCACTTTCAAAATGGCTTGAAAGATACTCAGAAAAGTTTATTTGATGTATGGAGAGCAGTGTTCACTATTCCATCACAACGTTTACTTTCAAGTCGTAGACTGAATAACTATAATAATAATAGTGAAGGCGTAAAATGTAAAAATAGCAATCACAATACTATATCAGCTAGGTGAGTTTTTCAATTTTGTTTTTCATTTTCGTATTTGCATTGGCGGAATATCAGTGAACTCGATTATCCCACGAAATAGCCAGAAATGATTAACAACAAGGAACTGTGGTAACGGATCAACCAAGAAATGTGCAAAAGTAAATGGACATGGATTAAATACACTCTGTGGAGACCGTTGAGTGACACTGCGCACCAGCACGTCGAGTAAGACCCAAATGGGAAACGATTAGTTGGTCGTCTGAGAGCAACATAGAAGGGATTGTGTGAGCAGTATACAAAATTTTATGAGCAATCGTAGAGTCAGCTAACAGGTACAGAAGAGAATAGTGTGAATTGGAGATGCGCTATGGAAATTCTATTTTCCACTTGGAGTCCAAGGAAATAATAATAATAATAGTAATGCACCTTATCGTTATTCTTAAAATAAATTATACACTCACCAGTAGGTGTGTGTACAATTGTACTTGACTTATCAAGATATGCAGAATCATTTGAATGTCTTTTGTTGACTAAAGCCTCTTTTTAAGGATTCAATATAACTGCAGTTTTAATGAACATTTGTAACTCTTGCCAAATTTCCTAAGTTAAAATGTGGTGAACTTCTCAACGTATTTTTTATACAGCTGCCTTCAAACTGTTGTAAATTTTGTTAGAGTTTTTAGATTTTGTGTATTTATTACTCACTTAATGATTTTTAATTCAGATCGTATTATACTATTTTTGCTTATCCATGCAGTGGTTGTGCTTTTGGTTGGAGTAACATCTGGCTTTTGCACAACTTTTACTCTTACCTATTCCAGTTAGTTTTCATCACATATTGTCTTGGTTAATCGTAAACTATCTCATTTATATTTTTATTACCTTTCAAGACTAGATTATGTATTAAGTATCTCAGATACTGCTGCTGATCATCAACAAATAACTATGGGTATTTTTGAAAATTATCTGTATGGTCGTCTTAAGGATGCAACATTACGTGTGGTAAGTCTCTTGTCCTTAGTCTTATACTTGATTTCAATATTGCCTATATAAATTGTCCTTTTTACTTATCACTCGAGTTTTGTCTTTAACAGGCTTGTCAAGCATCTGATTGGTTTGTGTTTGATGATATACTTAACACTTATGCTCAAACCAAATCGAATTATATGCTCTTACGATATGCAGGATGGTTGCCTTGTTGGTTCCATTTGGCTCTAGCCACTCCATCGGGTCTGATCAACAGTTCTATGTCAACAGGAGGTACAAAGTTTATGGGTGGTTTACGTTGGCCTTCTACGCCAATTGAAGCTGCAGCAACGCGTTCACGTTATGTTGCAATATTGGATCAATTACACCTTAACCAATGGAATATACCTCGCAGTATATCTGATAATTCTTTAACACCAATCAATAGTTTCAATAGTTTTCGGTATGTGTGTTCAATTCACTTTTTATAAGAGATTTGTGTCAACGAATTTCCTAATCTAAAGGTCATTATTTAAATTCTTAATAAGTTGCATACTAGTTAAAATAAATTGACAGTTTAAAAAACAACCAAGTCTACATTACATCCAATTTGAAATACATTTATTCCATCTGATCTGAGATTCCTGCCTTTTCCATACCATATCTTCTCATAATTTGGCAGTCTGAACTGCTTTCTTAACTTTGAATATCATGCGGACATTCTATGTCCTCATGTTTATTTCAGCTTTCATCGATAGGAGACAAATCGACCGACTGACTTCCTGAAAGCTCTCACTAGTCGACATAATATCCTCTCTCTTATTCTAGCAAAGAAAAAGTTCATTTTTAAAATTTCTCTTCTTTGCTTTGAAGTTTCTGTAGCAATTGGGTTGATTTTCCGGAGGAGCGTCGCCAGCCTCACACCCAACCTTTCCTCTTTTTCCTGGCTTAGGACAGGTTTGTCAGCTAAACGAGGTTTTATTACTGATGTAAACAGCATTTTAATTTTCGACGCTCGTTTGGCCTGTCAACTAGATGTAACGGTATCCTAGTTGAGTAATAATTTTTCCAATAATTCCCTGCAGTGAAGAATGTATCCCTTCCTATTCACTAGGCTAATGAACCACATTAATCGCATTTTGTCTAGAAATGTTTTGTTATTACTACTGTTATGACTCAGTGGTCAGTGGAAAAACAAAAAGACAGTTTAAGCGAAGAAAAAATCTTTTCGACGAAATCATCGACTAGCCTGTACATTCGTGAATATATAACAAACGGGTGAGTCCAGAACTATTTCCGGTCCGATATCAAAACATAACAAATAATAAGATACGTTGGCTTGAGATTTCGGATCGCTAGTGTTTCATCCATGGCCAGATGTTGATATTAGGTTGTTGGAGGCAATTGGCAGGAAGCCTTGAACCTAGGTTTCGTGCTTTTTGGCATTCACTAGTCAGCAAGGCGTATCCGCATCCTTGAAGGAGCTCATGTCCCTTCTGAGATTCAAACACGTGCCACGTAGTGCTGCAGTCAGAGACGTTACCATTGAGTTATTCGGGCTCGCGATTGATCTCTTGTAGGGCTGTATTGGATACTTTGATGGGACACTAGTAACTAGTGTGATGTATCTAGTCCTTTCTTTGGTGCCGACTGAATTCTATCAGTCAAGTTTGCAATGTGGCCACCATTCACCTTTCTGATGAGTGCCAATTGGACCTAGGTCCAAGGCTTCCTGCCGATTGCCTCCAACTATCTAATACCAACACTTATTCACAGTGCACCGTGATGGTGAACCACATTGCAAACTTGACTGATAGAATTCAGTCTGCACTAAAGATAGGACTAGACGCATTACACTATTTACTAACTAGTGTCCAATCAAAATGCGCAGGGGTACTGATCTCACTCCGTTGAAGAGGTTTTATCAGACTTTGTATGGGACCGAAGATTTTTCAATTAGAGCTAAGTGTCCTGTGTTCATGAATTGTATTTTCAACCGAAACTTTGTCTGCAACTGCAAGTTTTACTTTATTTTAAAAAGGAAGAAAAAGCTGTTATTAGTAAAATTGTACCCTTTTGCTTTTAAAAATCTTCTAGATTTTTACCACGTCGACATTTTCTATTAGATATGGCGTCTATCCTTATTACTCTTTTGGCATTACTTGCATCGGGTTTACGCCCTTTAAGTGCACAATTGTATAGTCAACAAGAAAAGTTAGCTCTTAACAAATTAGTAAATTTGATGATAAATCTTGGCCTGAATTGGAAAGTGGAACAAGATCCAGATAGCAATGAAATTCAATATCAGCTTGAGCCGTAAGTTTAAATTTTTTTAAAATATTCAATGGTTATGAATAAGACTTAATCTAATTCCGTTTTGTAACTTATTCTAGCCATCGTCTGTCTGCACACTGTATGACATTCACTTTGCCTCTAACTTAGAAAACGATTAGATTGTAGTTATTGTACTCCGTTATCTAAGTGTGCATTAACTCATGTGATATAACTGTAGTTGCTTAGGTCAGATTTCAAGTATAAAGTGTGTATAAGTCTAATGCACTATGGGAACAACTTGTTCTACGGATTATTCATTTGCCTTTTCAATCTGAGGTATAGGGTAATGATATTATATCCCTCACTTCTCCTTAAAAGTTATGGTTATCACTCTGTCTTCTCATGTAGTCATATATATATATATATATATAGCCTGAACAAATTAAATTTTTGTAATCTAGGAAGTAAGATATGGTTTTGTGATATTCTGTTTCTCTCAGATGCACTAAATGAGCCTGTAAGATGTTTTTAAATGTATGATGAACTATACGGAGTTTTGGCCTGGTACGGCCGTGGGTGGGGAGTCTTCAATCTTCCTCTTGAAATGCTTTCATGTGGCCACGCGTTCTCATAGCCTTTGTCTGGTAAGCGCTATTCAGTGCCTTCACGTGGCAACAGTGCTCCTCACAAAAGTGAAAGAGCGGGTGTGAACATTTTGTGCTTACAGAAGGACTGATGGACATTCTCGTCTACCTAGAGGAGCTATATATATATATATATATATCGAGAATGGGCAGAAGTTGTAATTCATGTGCCATTAGGTCGGGTCCCAGCGGCTGAATTGTCTACGAGCTCGCCTTGTAACCGGAATGTCATGGATTTAAACCTCGGTGGATGCGTACTGTGAAGAGTCTTAGACTAAGACGAAACAGCTGTACATTATACCTAGGTTTTCCAATGGTTCTGTAACTGATATCAGCTCGTAATAAAACCTATCCTATAATAGTTGTATTTTATTTGACGCATGTCAAATATCTGTTTTAAGAAAAAGTTATTATCTTCTATTAGGGCTTTGGATGTTGTTGCTTGTTTTACAAAGACAAATGGTCTAAAACTGCTTGGATATGCTACTAAACAACTTATTTCACGCGAAATGGAATTTGAAATAGTTCGACGTTCTCAATCACTTATCAGTCGCAATACCAACAAGCTACCCACCAACAATATTAATGATCTCCTTTGTAAAATTAATCCCAAACCAGAGGTGAAAAGTAACGTGGATACAAATTCAAATATTGCAAAGTTAACTGTTACAAAAAGTTGTAAGGTATGTTAAATAATACATATGAAGCTCATTTTCTGAGCAATTATGGTCTATTTTATAAATATATCTTCATGTTTATAACGTATATAACCTTTGAGTTACTATTAGATACATTCATACGAGTGCATAAATTCCGAGCTTTGCCCAGAACTGCAACAGTTCAAATTACCATACTTTATTTAGTACACACAGGTAGGAAAAAGAAAAACATTCAAAAGAACTATAATCATCAGAAATGTACGGGATCAAGAATAGTAATATGAAAAAACATGAGAACTTAATGGATCTGGGAGATTGATTGGAAAGGGTGAAGGCGTCTGCGCCATTGAAATGAATGCGAACCATGTGTCCAACAGTCTTCAGACATCTATTTTTAGCGTCTCGAGGATACCAGTCGGACAGTCTGTACCTCTGGTATGTGCCAGCAATTTATTTCAATAATCTCAAATTCAATTAAATTAATATGACCCGTTGCACAAGAGGTGGCTCTCGTGGCCCAAGTGGTCTAGTGGATAACGCTTTGGCGTTTGAAACTAAGGGCACTGGGTTCGAGCTTTGGTGGGAACATCATCACTCACTGGTAAATGCAGGTACATCCATATGACGAGTCCCAAATATGACGAAATGCGCATCCTGGATTCCACTGCTAGTCACCATCCACAAATTAAATTCTAATTAAATGCCCAGACATCGTCGAAGCATCTGCACAAGAAGCCGACATTTCAACCTGAGACCAAGCACTTCGATCCTATCAATCGACAGGAAAAAATCTCAAATTTAATTGAATCTCCTAGTCAGATAAAAATAAATTACATGTCACACGATATGCGTCTAGCATGCTGTTAACACCTACTGTTCCAACCTTGTGAATGGATCAGTATATGTCATATATTTTTTCACTCTTTGTTACTTTTTCCCTCACTTCTTCTGGAATTACTTGTTTCTAAACCTTCTGTATGAGTCTTCTAGAATTTACTGGTTCGAGTCAGGAAATAATCGATGAGGAAAAATTATCAAGCGTCCATAATCGCCAGTCAGTAACCGTATTCACACTCAGCGACATCATAACAACCTCCCTCAGATGCTGACTGAAATCAGCAGTCGAATAGTTCACGGATTGATGTCAGATTTGATTTGACCAACACTAACTGTTTTCCAACCTTAATCTTATATCACCTAACATTGCTTGTTGATGGATGCTTTACCATGGCCATCACAAACATTCAATTTTCTCAATAATTATTATCCGATTATGTTTCCTATCCAAACTTCCTGCTTATTTCTGATTATGATATTTTTAATCCTTATTTGCAATGTTGTTATATGTTATGTTAATATGGCCCTGAACCGGAAATGGTTCTTCGACTTTCTGGCCCATTTACTATATATAGACGAGTTTATAGTCTATGTGGTGAATTCACCGAAAAGTAAATTTGCTTCGCTACAACCGGCTTCTTAATTTTTTCTACGATCTAATGTGTATGTGTGTGCGTCGGTGGCACAGTGGTTAGGACGCTCGCCGACCATGCACATGGTCTGGGGTTCGATCCCCTGCCGATGCACACCCGATATCTATGGTCGGCCTGCAAAATTTGGGCTACCGATATCCATGCTGAAAATGCCATACTTGTACTGAAAATACGGTGTGGCATCAAGCTGTTATCAAAAATAAAAAAAATAAATAAATAAAAATTAAAACCCATTTTTAAGTCTCCTTCTATTAAGTATATCGTATAATCCCTAGGTTATTGATTTTTTTCACACACTTTTTGAAATAGCCTTGATATGTATGCGTATTACGGATTGTTGGTGAACCGTTATTTATTCTTTTTTGTTTTTGATTTACGCTTCGTACTGTAGTTTTCAGGATGAACAGTTGTACTGTAAACTAACTTCTACATTTTACCCAGTTAGGTATAGAATAAGTTTTTTCCCCCGCGAAATTCTACTTTTTCCAACAACTTTAGACAGCAAATCCTACTTTCTGTCACCTTTTATACAAAGTTTCCCTCTTGTTTTTATTCATAGGTGAAGAAAGACTTTTTTGGACGTCTTATCAGCGAGAAATTATCAAGTAATAATATTAATAATAAAGAAGGGGCTGCTGAAGGTAAGTTGTTGTCTCTTTCTCTTTTACCTTCTGTGCATTAATAGATCGAACAGGTAAAAAAGCATCTGTCATTAGTGCAGAAGTTTATTACCGCTTCAAGGAGGGCTATTCGAATGCTGTCCGTCGTCCTGTCCTTATGAAGGAATTCGTGTAAATAATCTTCAGATCTTTTCTTATTCTTTTGTGATGAATTTATTTTAAAAAATAATAATTTTCAATATATTTGTTAATTATTTGTAACTGTCTTTTTTCTGCATAATTGGCGTGTGTACATCTTTCTGTGTGCCGTTTCCTATTAATCTTTTTTTTCCATAATAATGCTGGTTGAATATACAGCCACGAGTATACTTAGAAGTATCATGTTTTCATTTCAAAAATAGAGCAGACAGGTTTCTTTCCTTTTGTATGTACTGGTTGGTTTTACTTAAAGTAGACCCTAATCAGTACTCTACCTAACGTGTAAGCGCCGATTAACGAACTCCACGTAAGAAGGCTTGTTACTTGGTAGTGTACCCTGATGAGAATGTCAAATTTAATAAATAAGAATATTGTACAACTTATCGGTTAACTGTCTGGGGTAGCAAGCGTTTGTGGTGAGAGCTGTCTGCTAGCCAAAATTGCGAGACAGCAATTTACACCAATGTTTACGTCCCAAATCTTGGTCATGAGAAAAAACAAGAACAAAGCCTGACCTTGAGGAACTCAGCAACCAGTCACAGCAGACTTAGCGTGGGCTAATACGATTCGCAAATATATGACTGGATTGTCTAAGAAACAACAACAAAGAGGTCACAGAATAACCTACGGCAGGAAAACAACCATTCAGAAGAGGTTTCTTCTCTGCTAACAATGACGAATAATAATGTACATAAAATTCTAGAAATATCTGTTGATTTTCTCTATAAACGATCTGTTACCTGGCTCTTGTCTTCTGTCGTTACACGCTTAATGATAGCACAGCGAGCCACAAACGAGTAGTCATGCCAGGAGAAGAGTAATGCGGCGCCATAATACATGAGTGCGTTAAAACAAAAGTTCAAACATTCAAGGTGCATTACACTTTAATGCAGTGTAAACAGGATCTTTTGTTTACTGACTTTTCATTAAAGCATCAAGACCATATATCTTAGAATATACATTCCATTTCATTTTTTTTTCCTTCGTTAAAATAACCACAGAAGTTAACTTAAAAATTCAGTATGAGATAGATTCGTGTACATTCTATATAAGAGTGTACAAGTGGAATCAGGTAAGGAATATCAGCAGTTCATATGGAAGTATAAGGTATGCTAATAGACAAAAAAAGACAAACTTACATCTAAAAATTAATATGATGTTCACTACTGACTAGTTACAGGATTGAGTTGCCTGGAGTCCAAGTGAGAAGTCGTAATTGGCAGGGTTGTTCATCAAGTTCAGTGTGAGGACAAATACGCGCCGATGACATTGGCTGACGCTGGGGCTAAACTTATAATTCATGAGCAACTAGATTCCTTCCCAGCGATAAAATGGTCAACAAGGTTGCCCCTTAACCTGAAGGATCGAAGTCCAATCCGTAGCGCGGTCATGGGTGCATACTGATGAAGAGACCCCAGCTGCAATGAAACAGTTTTCCAGTACTCCTGGGTTTCCTATGATTATCTGACTAAAATCAGTTTGTAACCAAACTTGAAAGCAGACAAATCACTACATACCAACACTTGACTAAAAAAATCCTACACTTTCATCACGTAGCGTAAATAATTAATATGATGATACAAATGAAAATAATTTCTAACTTCTCCGTCAGCCACCGACAGATGAATATATAGTCAGATAAGACATTTAAAGTAGACAAAACTCAAAAGAAGATATATTCAGGAAGGCGAAGTGAAAAAGAGATTAGGAATTTTTCATTTTTGCAGTCACCAAATAGATATTGAATTCGCGCGAATAAATACTGGATTTATAACATATGGTAAAAATTCATTTAGTAGCATAAAACAAAACGAAAGCTATTTACCAGTTAGTTATACTTAGTCTAAACTATGTATTGAAATAATAAAATCTACATCCTCCAGTATTTCAGAAGTGGGTATGGAAACAATTTATGATAGCCATGCAGAAGTACGTGCCTGTAGTACTTTGCCTGATATATATATATATATATATACATATATATATATATAGTGAGGAGAATACAAATCACCATATTTGTCTACATCATTGGGTCGTGATGAATCTACTATTTTATTGTTATTTCCGGGAGTAGAGTTACAATTATTTACGACGTGAGGGTTAAGCATTCGCACTAGTGAAACATTAGTTTAATATATGTCCCTTGATGTGATCCTCTGAGGTTCACACCACCTTAGAGCCTTCTGAACACCCTCAAGAGAAAATATATACTCATTACTTTTACCACTGCGAGGTAAGCGTACTTGGGGAGGTAAGTGACAACTAAGTGGGGATTTGCTTGTCTTCATCTGACATATGACGTGCACAGTGTTATTCACAAAAATAAGTCTGCTGGATAGGTAGGTTCTCTCAGTATTTTGGCATGCTAACTTTGGTGTATGTCAATGAGAATGTACGTGGCTTTGTTTTCTAGTGTGAAATGTCACATGTTTTCTAGATAAGCTCTTTAAATGTACTTTGTTAGCTCACAGTCTCATAAGCAAACTCAGTTTTCTTCCCACTTTTTCTGATGTAAATTGATTACTTACTCGTTAACTGCTATACTACCGAAGAGGTGATAAAGAGCAAAAAGAATGACGCTAAATAAGTGGTCAGAATAGTTAAGGGAGGAAATCTAGGGGTTAGAAAACACCCATTGAATCATGAAGATAAAATACCAACCAAGGCGGAATAAAAATTTTCTTCCCTTGTTTCTCTTTCATCTCTAGTAACAGTTAATAGAGATATTAAATTCCCTGAGATAAGAAACCTTGCAGCACCTCTAAATATAGATTTCAGTAAATCGGTGCTGAATCTAATTTCCAGCGTTGCGACCGAAAACTTATAACCAAAACACCGACCTGTAGACGTCATAAAAATAGTTATAGCGGTAGGTAAATCACGAGAATTATTCACCAATGTATTCCTCACTTAAAATTAGATGGTGATCCTCAGTGTTCAAGTTGACTTTTTTAAATGAAGGCCCGCAATCAAGCATCCACGCTATTTGGCACGTCGCCAATTTACGTTCGTTCGTGCACGATACCTAGCTAGTTAAGCAATCGTTCTCGCACTACGATCTGGTGCCGAAATATGCTTCGTAATTTGGATGATCAATTCTGGTATTTCTCTTTGATCTACGCGGAACGCGTACTATAGAAGTTGTGGGTGTTAGATCTTGCGGTAGTATACATCGTACTACCCGTGAACGTCAACACCCTCTGCATCTAAATAGCCGAAGCAAAAGTCCAAATCGTTCCAAGCGAAAATATATAGCAGACCAAAACGTTGAAGACACTTTGAATTTTTTTATTTAAGAAAAATATCATGTACATCACATTAGATATCCTCAGTTGTGCAGTTAGGGTGAGATAAACACTATCGCGTTTTAAATTTATCTCACCTCTGGTTTTCTTGTCTTACGTTGGCTAGAACAGTGATGGTTCATTCGATATTTGGTTTCCCGTAAGTAAATGCTGTCGTGTAGGATTTTGTGTTATGCGTGCTTTACAAACAATGGTGATGAATCTAAACGTAACATTTGACTATTCTAACGTTGTTTTTATACAACGACAAAGCTTGTTTCGTAATACACTCCGTTGAGATTGTCTGGCCGTATTGGTGGCTATCAGTGACTACGATCCCGTGGGTTCCCATGATTTTCTGGAGTTGTGCTTATACGTGTGATATTTTCTTGATCGATATTTCTCACTTGTGTAGTGCAATATTGTGTCTTTAACCGAATTAACTTTAACAAGCTGTGGCAGCAATGGGTACTAATTGACGAAGCCTTTTTAGAAGTTCATTGCAGGTAATCAGTGAGGGTGAAAGAAGCACATATGTAAGTGAAAGTTTTCGTGAAGTAATGCTAAGAAGGTGGTTTTTCAACTGGGAGGAATCGGAGAATCCATTATAAGAGTGTCAAAAAGTGAGGAAGTTATTTAATGCTAACAGTGTAGTTGTCCTGCACTCACTACGTCCATATCCAGAACAAAACAAGAGGGAATGATAGATTTAAGTACGTGTTTGTCGCCTTTAAAGGCACTTTTGAAGTGAAGCGAGGCCCAAATTTGAAGAATAAGTCGTAAGAGGAAGTACATTATGATACTATGCATATTTAAGCTCCAAATTTGGCAACTGTCTGTCTTCATTTCGCATACTTTTGCAGTGTAGTGAATACTTGGTGACATCCTAAAATATGCTGCATAACCATCCATTGCACATGAAGAGTGATCCTTGGAATAGACGACTAACAGTAGAAGAGAAAGAAAATGTGGGACGGCTTCTGCAGCAATCGCACTGATCTTATGAAATATTGAGGCTTTTTAAGGAGAAATTTCACACGGAAATCACCCTCAATGACTTTAAAAATATGAAAGCCTCCACTAACAGGTGTAACGTGGACTTCATATGTAATAACTTGAGGAATGTCGAGTCGTAATGATATCTTTCAGTCAGTGAAATGCTGTGGGAAGTTGACAGAGTTTTATTGAGACGAACACATCCGAAATACACTTATTAAAGTTTGTTTTGCGACTAAGGAGCAAATGGAGTTGTATAAACAGTTCCCAGAGGTTGTGGGTATTGACTCCACATACAATCCAATAACCGGAAGTAAGTTTACGCATTCAGTGATAAACATGCAGGTATTCGTTGTTCCACTTTGTTGTAATGGATAACTTCGGTCGTGGCCGTCCAGCACTATTTGCTGCATTCAAGTCAACGCACAGGCAAGCACACAATGTATTGTGTTACCTGACGTAAAAACCAAGAGCACAACGCCTTGTGGTTAACAAAAATGTGAATTCAAACAAAAACACAACAGTTCAACATAAAGGATAAAATTATCTAATTTACATGAAAATAAAAGCAGTACACTCTTATTCGTAACACACTAACAAATGAATGTAAATATTTTTTCCATAAAACTTGCCTAGGAAGAAAGAATTGATGGAAAATAAAACACATGCTGTCTTTATGTGGACACACAATTACACCACACGCAAAAGTTCTGTTTAGGAGTGATGAAACA